ACTACCAAATTTAACTCTATTTATCCATCAATTGGAAGTCTAGGTAATACATCAGCACTGTTTTCGTCAAATCTTAGTTGAAAGTTATATCCTGAAAAAATTGCAGCATATCTTAGTAATCTACCAATAGTCATCGACATTCAGAAAATACCCATTGAATACTTTTCATTTTCTATGAAAATTTGAAAAAAATTATTAATTCCAACTACTAAATTCAAGGTTTCCTAATCTATTTGACTAAACATATTTTTATATTGAAATAATGAGTATTGATATCTTGCAAATGATGTTTTATTTATTGGTCGTCAATATAACAAAGCTGTTATGATGATATTATTGAGTATCACCATCTAATATAATAATTGACCTAAATTATTTTGTTTAAGAAAAATAAAAATAGAAATTATATAAATCTGCACATTTTTTACGTTAGCATACGTTATATTAGATTTTCTCACAAATAATGTGTATATAGGTATACTGCCTATGCAACATGCACCTCACGCAAGATATTCAGCAACCGGGAAACACATCCACTATCCACACATGTCACATAATATTAATATTAGTTATTATGCATGTGAATATGTGATGATAACAATTAATAAGTATAGACATATATAATAAACGGTATATTATTATATTATATTATACGAAACGACGACACTGCAGTGTCGTTGATTATATAATAATATGTTTACGTACTTAGGTTTATCAAAACAGATCGTTATTATATAATATGTACGCGGCTTTCATATATAAGTTTTTCGATCGAATACAACACATACTATCATTATTATTACTATATTAACCGATATACTGCCAGGGATGATGTATTATATTATTACCTCATCCGCGCATGGCTCGCATATACACGTCCGGAATCTGACGGTTTTCATGTGGGCGTTATATACAAACCGACCGAGATTGGGATGAGTTTGATTTTGTTTTCCATCCTTCCGCATGATCCCGTTTCCCACACATCATATATTATATAATATACCCAAACGTTTACGCGTACGACGTGTGCACGGACGTTTCGTATTTTTATTTTTCTTTCTCGTCCGTCCACGTCGCACCGGGGACGTGAGTACGTGACCACGCGGTATGTGAAGACAGGATTCTCGGGATTCTGTGACCGCCAGGTGAAACACGCGCGTAAAACCGCCTACGGGAGCGGTAGCAGTGTGTAATCGAAACTCGCGCAACGGTTGAACGGTGGTGTTTACTGGGTGGGTGGTGTTTAATAATGCACTGCAATGCACCGCCGAAACGGCCATGTCCTATATACGACACGATACTGCCTGTGACGGGGCTGAAGGGTGGACTGGCGGCCGATTTAATAACGGCAGTATTCCGTTGTGTGGCTCTCGTGACGTATAATATTGTATTATACTATTAATTATTATTATTATTATTATTACGGTGTGATGGCGATGGTGGCTGCACAGTCGCAAACGAAGCTTCATAAATAATTTTAGAGAAACGATGATTTTCTGCTTTCGTCGGAAGCACAATTCCGAGCCTACAATCGATCCCTAAAACACCATGACAGAACTTATTGCAGGTCTTCGTCCAACTGTCAAACTTTTGCTCTAACACCAGCACTAACCGATACAGTGAACAAATAGACGGAAATGTACGAAGCAAAACCTATTCGAAGAGGAAGAAAAATTATTGAAAATGCTTAGTGCTTACGGATAAAAAAAGAAAACAATGGTGTGATCTTCTAGCATACTTAGGCATGAAACCAAGTAGTAAAAAAAGTCTGGAACCTTATCAAGCGACTGTACAATGATTCTACACAAGAACCCACTGTTAACAGTGACGCCGAATCAAATAACAGCAAATACTCAACTTCTGCCCAATACATTTAGAACGTTTTCGACAGAAACCAAATAATCGGAGAGGCATTTATTGACCTTTCTGCACCCGCTTATATCATGGTCAACCACGGCCAACCATCAGAGAAAATATATCAACTACTATCAACACTGTATATGCTTACGAAACTAAATACTTAGACACCAAACTAAATGAAATCAAAAGAAATATCCATCGTTGGGTATACCCAAAGTGCCACTGAAAATAAAATATAKTACCTACTCGACAGACTTTGCATTTGACCAACCAAAATTTCTCACGGTTTCCTGATAGTCAGAGCCAGACTCAGCCAAAAAGGAGCTACTTATTTTTCAAACATGCGGAACTATGCTAACCGCCAAACACAGAATAACTGAATGTTGTACAATAAAAGACGGGTCGAGCACTGGATACCCCACAACCTAAACTCCCCACTCTGTCCCGATCCTAAAAAAAACTGACATAATTCATTTTACGAAATAAAAAAAAATATTTAAATATTTAAAAAAAAATACATAACCCTTTAATTTTAACTTGCCTTAATGGCCTTTGCTGTCGATGTTATTTTTTGAGATCAATAAAAAGAAAAAACTAATCGACATTTTTTATCACTTATCAACCTTAACCATCGAGATATACACCGCATGACAAAAATACATTTCAATTTTTTATATTATTCAATATACTCGTATTATCACTTTATTTTTTATAGCATTTAAATATAAAATTCTTAAGTTTTGTCTGACGTCTCCATAACAGTGTGGGCTCTGGGTAGACTTCCCTCCTCATAGTCAAGGTCTAACATACATAGAAACATAATATAGGTATTAGTTACATTAAAATATCTCGGTAAAATAAATGTCAAATGTATCAATATAACATACAGTGACAGTACCTATACCTCTTGTACCTATATACTATAAGTTTTCAATTTTCAATTATTTTTACACACATAGTTGGTATATAAATACACCTTATGACTTATGTACCTATGAATCTATGATACTTAAATTTTAAGCGTCAAGGTAAAACTATAATTATATATACACGGTGTTTTCCAGCGCGTTTTGTTCACCTCGTATTACGCAACGTTTTTTTCTGCATCAGCTATACAGGGCGTTCCGTCGACGTATTCAACCACCTAAATTATTTGCAATTAGTATGAAATTAAGTACGAACGCATCGTTTTTCGTCATCAGCCCATCCCAATTTAAAAACATAAAAATTAAGTATTTGCTTTTTCATTACTTCGACGTTCTGATGGAAAAACGCAAACTAACCGCATTTTAATCGTGAATAAAAGAAATGTATCCTATAACGGGCTATTAACGGCTATATTCCTATATACATATAGGTATGTAATTGTAGGTCGATTAAATATTTGAAATGGTTTTTTTCAAGAAGAAATATTGACCTTAATGGCTAAACATATGAATATAATTCCCCTCCCCCTCAAAAAAAGGAAAATTGTATTATTTATTATGTATTAAATTCGATTACACAAATCATAGAATAATATAAGATAAATAAAATAAAATCATATTTAACATTATATAATGCTTAATTAAGAACAACAATTAAGTATAAAATGATTTATTAATTTATTAGTTATTACGTTGGACGTAGGTAACACGTACATTATTCATATAGATATCTACTACCTACATCAGAGTATCAAACATGTGGGAAAAATTATTAAAATTAATTAAGCTTGTAACGTAAAAAAATTATGATATTTTAATTGAACATTTTTTTCCACATGGATATAATAATACGCATTACAATAACATAGGTACAGTTTCCGTTTTTGTTAATAATAAGTATATAGTACAGCCGGTGCGTATTATTTTTACTTAAAAAAATACAATTTATTATGAATGCGGATAAAATATTTGCATTTTATATTATCGCATGTGCATTTTTCAAATATTTAAATTAACAAAATAATTTATAAAGTCTGCCGAGTGCTGATTGTTATAAATTATGATGTGTAATTTTTTTCTAATAAATAAAAAATCATACATATTTATAAACAAAAACTATGTTTTTATTCCTATATATCTACTTACATGCCTGCATTAAATCTTATCTTATCAAATACATATTCAGTATCAGAGCTTAGTAAGATACTAAGATTCAGTGGTCGGTAAGTTCTAATCTAAATTGGGACTTGGTTTTAGTTAATTCCTTTTAATATGTAATTATTAAAAATAATAATTTGTAGMAATTATAAACAGTTAATTAATTAATACCAATCACAAAATTCTAAAAATTCTAAAATATTTACAAGGCTATCTCAAAGTAAATCATTCTTCGGCAGAACGATGGAAAACATGTTTCTTTTTTTTTGTGCCAATGTGCTTAGTCCCTCCCCCCACATCCCTTACAGTTGTTTCGAAATCATTACTGTCCCCCAATATAATTCGAAACTTCATGCATTTGCATAATTCATAGAAAGCTGTAGCATATCATTCAAAATCTGATTCGACAAAAATTTGTTTCATATAGGTTATATAATAATATGTAACTTAAATCCAATGACTGTAGATTGGATACTTACCAAATTTAAGCTATTTTTCATATTTAAATATTTATTAATTAATTATTAGCGCATATTTTTTCAAATAATTAATACATTTTGAATGATTGAATAATTTGTAACATGTTTAAAGTTTTATTAAAAAATGATCTACCCATAAATTGGTTCATGATGGGTATAGGGTCGGCTGTACTGTCTAATTCCTGCACGTCATAATCATTTTTTTCATTTTTGTCAAGAATTTAACGAGTCGTGAACATTGGACTTAATATATAACACTTGCGCGATCTACCGTTCTGATACATACTTATACCCGTTTGGAGCACGAATACAGAACAAGATATTCAAGATCGTGTTATTTCGACATAATACTTCATATTATTATGATTTATGAAAAACTGCAAAGACAAAGAGTTAAGAGATTATAATGTTTTGTTTTATTGAATATTGATTATAGTGTCGGTAGCCATCTTATAATCCACTGGGTACTGGAACACTTGGTGTACCACAACGTCTACAATGGCTATTTGGCTATAGGATTTTTATAATAGTAGAACCAACAACAAGGGAGAAAAATATTTAAAACACACGAGGTAGGTATACATATAATATTAGGTATATTATAAAATACATAGCCAACATCGATAGACAGGAATGGTATTTTATAAATAAAATAATACAAAACTCAGATTAGCTTACATTGTTACAGTGCTTAGCAGTGACATACACAGGGCGAGGAGCTAATTGGCTGAAGCCCCTCCTCCCCATTAAAAACCACTACTGCTGGTGAGCAATCTTATGTATTATTTAAAATTCATTTAATTTCACATCAAATTATGATAAATTTGCTAAGTTAATCACTAGTAAAACGGAGATGACAAATACTTGTCTAGAGTCCTCTTTATGATACATATATAATATTTCTTTTAAAATGCTATTTAAAAAAAATATATAAATGAAAAATAATATGTTCATAACCAAATAGAGTGAAATATGTAACACACTAATTAAAATTAAAATACAGATATTTTTTATAACAAAAAAATAGTGTAATATAGGTACTTATTATTAAAATTGCTTATAATACTATGTTTGTATAAGATATAACTTTACAACAAGTATGCAATAATATTCTGTTCTAGGCAGATTTTAAAATTAAAAGTATAAAAATAAACTACCTACATTGATCATATTATGCTCAGAATCTAAAATTAAATATTGATGTTTATAAAATGTAATTTTATAAAATTATGTTTAAGTTGTTGGTACACTCAGCTCTAAGGATATAATTATTTCTAAAGTACTCCATCAGTTATTATGTTGGTTCTTCCAGTTGTTGGTAATGTAATTACTAAGAAAGCTGAAACTAAACATTAAATATTATGTGAAAGTGAGTAGATTACAACTATACAACTAATTTATTAGAATAATTCACTATTGAAATATTTTAAAATTTAAAAACTAAATCAATTTAAAATTTAGATAATGGAGTAGACCACTTATAGGTAGGTTTAATTTATTGTTCTAAGTTCTTACTATAGAGGCCAGAGGGTACAAATAGTGTTACAATTTGTACTGTATACAAGTGTATAATTATATAATTTTTAATTGTATAAATTTCTAATTTATATATGAATGCGTACTTAAATTAAATTATTGAGTATTATACAAAATTTGTACTAACTTATCAAAAATGAGCTTGAAACAAATATTGGAACTATACAATGAGCATCAATAAAAATTCCAATGAGAATGTTGCCCAAAAGTGCACCTATTTTGCCAAACATAGTACCTATGGACGCAGCCATGCCCCTTAAAAATAATAACATACAATTTAAAATACATATTATATAGTTTTAGAATAATATTTTATAAATAGTTCTATGTACACTTTACCTGTATTCAGTAGGAAATAACTCAACAGTAATGCAATATGTTAGGCTAATACCAATACTAGAAAAAGCTTCAAATATTGAAGATAATATGATATTCTSCATTGAAGAAGTAATAAAATACAACCATGCTGCAGAAATACTGGATCCAAAGAAACTCAAAACTGGATAAAAAAAAAAAAATTAAAAAGCTTAATATTATGTATTTATTCCATGTTATATTACCTATATAATAATATTATAAACTATAAGAAATCCTTAATTGGTACCTAGGTACTTATTACTTAGTATCATTACCCATCGGTTAAATTTAGAATATAATATTATAATAAAATAAATGTAAACCAGAACTAATAATATTTGATAGCTACTATTGTAGTATTACACAAGTATCAAATTGGTTGAAAATTAGTGACATGGTGGCTCGTATTTATTTTAAAATATTTTACTTACTCTATCTTTTATAGTTTCATATAGATAAGTAATAAATAGGGAACATATTTTAATATAAATTGCATATTTTTCTGAATCTCCAAAAACATTGCTTTCCAAGCTCAAAGTTCATTTAATACATCAATGAATTAAAAAATGTAACTTTTATTGTGCATTTTTTTTTTAATTWTTAAGACTTTATTACTTTTTAAAGCATTTCTTAACACTTTTTAGTGCATTTTTATGTTTTTAAGCCATATTTATGTAGGAATGTATACAATTTTATAAAAATGTAGTTAACATTCATTATAAAAAATTAAAAGTAAATATTTATTATGTTTTTACAACTTGGACTTAGACACTTAGAATTAGTGGCATAAATAAAGATGTATTTGGGAGTCTCTTTTTAACTTTAAAACTTCGTCTTCCCTTTAATCACTTTTACAATWTATTTTAATTACTACTTTTTTATACAATAAATTGAAAATCATAATACTAAACAAGACTAGCAAAATAATACATAATAAGTAGGTATTTTATCATGCATATGTTAAAAAAACAATTATTAACAACATATAAATTGTTGTTATTATAAAAATAAAAGATATTACCATAAGCTTTATTATATTAACAGAAAATAGAAATTAATTAAGAATTAATTATTTAATTATTTTTTCTGATATAAAAATGTATACATTATTTTTTGAAATTTCTTTTGAATGTGTCGGACAAAGATATATAAAAAAAGTGTAAAGAGGTGGGCCTCTTAAATTCGGTGTGTACTAGTTGCGGTCATAATCAAAAATTACGTACTAGTTGCGGTCATCCCTCAAAAAGGTTGCATACTAGTTGCGGTCACTCAAATAATAATAACTAAGTATRCTAAATAATATAATATAATATAGTTTATATAATAATTAAATATGAAATTAATATTTCGTTTATTTATTTAATTTAGAAAAATGTAWCAATCAAMATTTTCCTTCYCATTTATATCGAAAATATAACATACTTAGGACTGTCTACACAYTATTATTTATTGTGTAGGTATAGTTAAAAATGTTGATACTTATKTTTAAATTATTCGAATATTCGAAACTATGATCGGAGTATACAATTTAATCTATTTTATTTATAGACGCTGTGTACATTAAATCGAAAAATATGTTTATCGTATAATAYRMATTTCGCCTRGAATTAGAGTATAATAAAGCTATGACCGCAATTAAGATAGTACCTAAATTGGCGTGACCGCAACTGTTATATCTGTTTATCTCAAAAATCGTCATGACCGCAACTAGTATGCAGCCCTTAAATTTAGTGACCCCATTCTGACCCTCTTGAACCTAAGCAATGGACTTTTATTATATATGGTTAATGGTTATKGTAGGTAATTGACAACTGACTGTATAGTGTATACAATTAAAAAATTAATACTATGTATGAGTACAAATTTAAAATGTTCAATAACCTGTAAAAAATCTGAGTCCAAGTTTATTGATAAATAATGGTACAACGACACTTGTAGGTATGCAAGCAATACCAATGATCATGATGTTCATATACACGGAATGGTCAATATGATCATCACACTTTACATCTTTCATTTCTGGTTCAACTATGTACATGGATACAATTTCGCACATGGTTGTTTTATTTTGGATATTTGAATATGTTTCATACCAACGAAATCTATTCATCAATTCTGGGAACCACAGTATTAACATATAGTAACTGCACATAATATATATCATAGAGTAAGCAACTTCTGAACACATGATTTGTCATTAAATATTTAAAGTTTTCATAAATAGGTTATAGGTATGTCTCAATTGTTACCTACCTGGTTGTAGCACAAAAGTGTATAATGCATGTAATTATAGCTATAATTTTAAATTTTGATGTAAACAAATCTATAGTACTTTTATAAAGTCCGTCAAAGAAACCACTATTTGATTTGTCATTAGAGCTTGGCATGATTATTGAAGTCACCTAAAAATCAAACAGAATAAATATAAATATGTTTAAGTTAAATGAAGAATTATCGGGAAGTCAAATTATGCACCTAAAAATTATTGAAATTTAAGCTTACAGGAAATGTATCATTTGAGTTATTATTCCATTTGTAAACAAATTTTAAGCAATTGATTGTTTCTTGGTGTTTACCCTGAGCTAGTAAAAATTTTGGACTTTCCGGCATTTTCATTAATAAAATGGCTAATGTTATACTCGGAAGTGAACACATAATTACAAACAGATTCCATGATTTAAACAAAATGTATTCATTTTCAATTTTAAATGTCTGTGGTATAATTATCCATGCTACACCTAAAATCAAAATTATTTAAATATAACATTATTTTAATAATTATACGATTAATTTGAATATGTAGGACATTAATATTCTAATTGCCAATTAGTTAATTCAGATAAATATGGGTAAATTATCACTAAAAACAAAAAATACCTTACATAGATTGTGGTTTATTCTATTAATTTTTTAAATTATCATATTACAGCAATATATCATTATATGTCTATAATTATGATACTATGATACAAATAAGTAATTAAGCATAAAACAATTTCGAATGCAATAAAATTTGCTAAGATTTATCCACCCACCTGATTTTTATTCAGGGGATTAGATTTAAACAACTTTAAATTATTACATTTTAATGTTAAATGTTGAAAAATATATGAATTTAAACTTTAAAGTACCTACCTTAGATAAATGATCCCATTTTAGTACTATGGATACTAATGGTTGTTTCATTGTTTGGTTGTTAAAGAACACTAATTACAAGATTAAAATTACATAAATTACAAATAACAAATTCTTACATGGAAGTAATATTATGCCACATGTCCAGAACATTTCCATCCAAGATAAAAATTTTTCTCGGTATTTTACATTAAGAAACTCTACTAGATATGAAAAGAGGGTTGTTGAACCGGATACTCTGTAACAATAATATTTTAATGATTTATCTATAAAAATTTTAAAACTGTTTAAGAATATATTTGGTATACCCAAATCCACTAAAAAGTCTACAGAATATAAATATTGAATACACCTGCGACACACTAGATAAGATGTTAAAGAAACCATCCATCAACATACATATTATCAAAGTGAATCTTCGGCCCTTAGTATCTGCCACATAACCCCAAATAAAGGATCCCACTAACATTCCTAAAATAGAATAAAAACAACTTTATTGTCTGCTATTGAATAAACTAGTTTAATGTTATATTAAATTTGTATACCTATCAGCATTGCTCCATTTAGAAGGCCTTTGTGAGAAGAAGTCATTTGAAAATCACATTGAGCTGATGGTATAATAAATGAAACTGATGTCACACTAAAGGCAACTGCCGTGTATAGCGATCCACATATGAATAGTATATAATAATGAAAACATCCGAATCCTATTGGTTCAAAAATGTGTTAGATTATATTATTTATTTTGCTTATAGCATTTACAACTGTAACATTTTAATTAAGTACCTACTTAAATAATTTTTAACTATAATTTTTTTCTCGTTTAATATGTAGTTTTTCTGATCAAAATATCTAAGGCAAATTTATAGATCCTAATAGATTTGTAAATATATATTTTATGATACACCAACCTAAAAAGTAGAAGTGGATAAAAAAAATATTTTCAGCATTCTATAATAGCCAATAGGTATGTTTAATAAATTAAAGATACATTAACGGTTATGTAAATATTAACATAATAAGAATTAAGAAATGTTGGATACTGCTGACCTTATTTCACATAATATGTGTTAAAAAAATATGATGTATAAAATTATAATATTTTACAATATTGTATTACTATATACAAAAAAGAAAATATAGATTTAATCTCCTGTTACAATGTCTAGTGTTACTGTGTGTTAGCTATGAAAGGAAAAAATGAATTTCTGATTGAAAAATAATTCGTATATTTTCGGGGTTTTGATGAATTTGTCATAATTTGAACTTTAAATGCATAATATATAAAAAATTATCGTGACAATGTATTTTTAATGTTTTTGAACATTTTAAAGCTTATTTACATGTGAAAAAGTTATTATAGACCATATGATATTTTATATTGTATAATACATATTTTAATTATTTTGCCAAAATTCATCAAAATCCCAAAAAATTGAATATATATTTTGTCAGAATTCATAAACGTTTTCCTTAGATATAGCTAACATTAGAGATTGTAAAAGAAAATTCCCACAAGTTTTCTACTTTTAATAAACAAAGAGTGTACCGGGAATTTTACGCTATTTATGGCCGTGAGATATTTTCGATTTTTACTACTTTTTTTTTAAAATTATCAAATTGAATTATTTATACTAGTTTGTCAGCACCACACGACGTCTCCGTTTAGAATCGTTGTTTGTAAGCAATGATTTATAATTGAATTATAATTTACCATAATATCCATTACAATGACATACTCGACAACTACTTTACAAAAGAGCAGACCCACATGTCCACTTTTTTTTTGTATACCTATTTTTATTTATTTTTTTTTTTGTTTAATGTTTTCTCCGTCGTGGTGCAGTAATAACTCGATGGCCGATAGGAATATCGCATATACTCGTAGGTATATAATAATATATATTTTCTATAGCCAATGGTGCAATACCTCAGCATCACCTTTTATATTCTGCATGTTTCGTATTACGAAAGCGATAATAAAAAAATAATAATATATATTTAATATTCTTAAGAAAGGAGGGGGTGGTAAATGCAGAATTTATAATTATTAAATATAKGTACCTAATATAGTAATAAATAGGCAATATATTATTAATTATCATTATATGAAACACGACGTATATAATATAATAATATGTATACCTACACATAATAATCAACACCAGAAACACACAGACACACGCCCACATGCACGCATAATGTATATTTGAAGCGAAATAATATTTTTAATTTGTGTAGGCATCACGGGCGATATTACAATATTAGTATGCTACACGTATAACTCGTATAAGCACATCTGCTTCCGCGGATAGTTGGGCGGTCGACGTTATACAGTTATTGGAATAATATGTCTGAATATTTATTGTTATAGCTGTATCACCGGCAACTGGTGATATCCTAATTGCAGTGGGCTAATAATAAAAGAAAAATGTAATATTAATATTATTATTATTATTTTTATTTATTGGGATTAAAAGTGTTCAACTGCTATTATAAGGTAATTAGCCTACAAGCTTTACATTGGCTTACATTTTAACCATTTTACAAAACCAAGGTAGATTGATCTACCTTGCACAAAACATTTACCTACATAGTTTTAAATTTTGATAAGATTTTAAAAATAGTTGTATATTATAATATAATATAGCTATAGTACATAATATATTTACATTTGAAATTTTATTTATTTTATATTATTAAATTCATATTTTATATAGGTACATTAATATACTTCGCAAATACAAATATCTGAAATATCGAACAACGATCGTCGGTCATCAAATTGTTTTCGGTAAAAATCCGAAACTGATGGTACGTTAGTATCTACATTATTATATAGGTTATTACTTTATTAGCTACTTATTACTTATATTATAGAATATGTATTCTTGTGTAGTTGTGTGCAGCTGCAGAGTCGTGCAAGATAATTAATAATTATACATTTCTATTTCACTGAGCGTGATCGTGATACGAGTAGTAATATATTATAATTTATAGTATAAATTGTGTCTAAAAAGCAAGGCTAACAAGTTATAAAAATGTTTTAAGTATTCGAGATAACATGCCCAAGTACACTTATAATAAATATAACAAACCTATCAGTGAGATGTATACTCTCGAGTATCGACCAATATGTTYACTAGCACCACGATTTATGTTAATACAATAATTGGGTGTGTGAATCAAAATAATGTAATAATGGTTCGTTTCATATAATCATATGTAATTATTATAACCTACGAGTTTTTTTTTATCAACTTTGAATCGACTTACCAACCATTTCGATTGCCTTGTCCAGATGTACCGGATGGTCGAGAAGACTCGTACAGACCGTACAGTCAATGATTCCTGAAAGACCAACGATATAAYTTTTGATTCTATTCAAGACCAAAATTACAAAAATGTGTTATAGACTTATAGTTGTTGTCACAAAACCGTATTTACCTTTCGAATTATCTTTTTCCATTTAAAATGCAAGCAAAATGTGTAAAAATAAATAAATAATGAATAAAAATATAAACAAAACAGCAGGCAATCACATTAGTGTTGAAATCATTATTTTCTTTTAGTGTTCGAACCTCGGGCGTTCAATATAAAATGATATAGCTATTAATTCATTAAGTGGGAGAAACGTGGTGTGGTAATATAAAAACATTTTTATCATTTTTATTTTTATTTTTTTTTTTTAACTGGCTACATACTGGCTATAGGCTATATATTATTATTGTACATCTCCGGGGTCGACAGATAAATATCACATGTTCGATGTTATACTATTTTTTAAAAATCTAAATAATTTAAGGCATAATAGTAATATTGTTTAATTACTACAATGTATTTGTATGACTGCAAACGATATAGTTATAGTTGTAGTAATACCTACTTAATTACCTATTCTTATATTTATAATAAAAAATTATATACCATATAGATTATAGGTATTAGGTATACATTATTTTATATCGTATTGAATGATGCTTTGAAAATATAATAGACAATATTATTTTTTCAGAACTAGATATTAAAATGGATACACAAAATAACGTCAAAACATAGTTTGTTTATATTTTATAGGTAAATATTTTAATTGATTTTGGTACGAATTTAAAGAAGAAAAAAAATCGAAAAATTTAAGTAATAACTAATAATCAATGTCGTAGTCCGTAGATATGTGTATTAGAAGACTGTGATGAATTTAAATCTATTTTCAAAATCTTATAATCACATAACTTTATTGATCATTCTGTACGTTGGGATTGGGAATAGGATAGTATAAAATTCCATAATATGTGTGATAGATAGAGACAACAGATCACTACCACTCCAACCCTTTTCATATAACAATAGTGGTTAATGATTACCGAATACTTAGTTGGACTTCATTCCCCTCTTAATGATTACTTATTGCATCTACAATAACCGGTTTACCGGTAAAAATATCCATGATGTAAGTAACATAATAGCTTCAGTGCGTTACTTCAAGATTACGTGTTATATTTGACGGTTCGTATATGATAAATACAATGTTTATTTTAACTTAAGATTCTTAAGTTAAATACTTTTTTTTTATTGGTACAGCGTCATCAAAGGTTATAAGCTTGAACAACA